GGAATTTGATAAAAATGAAAAATATGAGTTGAGATTTTATTGTGAATTTTGATATTTGAGTGAGAACTTAAAAAATGTATGAAAGATGATGTTTGATTTGTAAATAACAATGTTTCGAGTTCTATGTATATAATTATCCCATAACATTTGATACACCACCAACAAATTTTCATCATCAGACACAAATCTTGAGGCATGATTTGAATTTCGAGACAATATTTTAAGCATGAATATTTCAACTCTTAATAAAAATTCATCCAGAGCTCTAATTTCAGTAAACTTATAGTCAAACTGACCGACTTGATGAGATGAACATAATGATATGAAAACTAGCCCAAGCCGAGTCAAATCAAACCTAAATCAAGTCATTGAACCACACTTAAATGATTTCCGAACACATTTGAAAGATCAAAGGGTTGTCGAATATGACAAGTTTATACTCGACTCGAGCGGCTCAATAAGACGAATCCAACGGGCCCAAGGTCATTTAATTTTGACATCATTAAGACACTCAAATGTCCAGTAAACGTCGTATAATCAGAGGAAGCTCTCTGGATCGTCCAATCAAAATGATTCGTATTTCTGCATTAATTGCACCCATAACACTATAAATAGAGTCTCATCCCTCTCATGAGTGGGGGGGGGGGGGGGGGGGGGGGGGGGGGGAGAAGTTTGGAGAGAAATTCTGAGACATTGAGGAGAAGCTGTAGTTCAACATCACCGTCGATCGTCTTTAAACACTGATGACCTCCGTCGTCGACCACCGCCGTTCGCAGTCGACCATCGCCAATCGCCGAAGTTCATCACAGATCGTCGTCGACCACCACCAATTGTCATCAATCACCACAACCAGACGCTGTCAGTTAACGTCATAATATGAAAAATATAGTTACAATTTCCAGTCTATGAGATGAGAGATTTTTGTAATCATCAATCAATTGTGAATTTTCGCAACTTGGCCAGACCCCGTGAATTTTCCATTTACGGGCTTTCCACGAAAAAACTTCTGGACAAGTCATTGTTTTTTTCTTTTTCATTTGAGTGAGTGCAAAATTCTCGTACAACGCTAAGATATAATCCATTACTCTACCGCCACGATTTTTCCGGCGCGCATCAACATTATTATCACTGTTTTAAAAATTAAACTACACATTTCATGCATGGGTAAAGTAGTACTAACATAAATATTAAAACTAGAGTTTAATGATGTAAATACATTGAAATCATGTGACATATCTATAAATACTTTGTTTTATGTCGCCCCTCCGAATTCCAAAACTATTCCGAGACATCGGCGACATTACCAGCTACTTTATTTTCCCGCCACGGCTCATGGATGAGAGGATGCATATTTATCTCGGTACCTGAAATGAAACCCTTTCGTCTCGGCGCTCACACTGCTGCTGATCCTGGTGCGAAGGGCACGAAGAGCTAGGAAGGAATGGATGAAGAGCTCACGCCTGATAACAACGGCAAGTTGTTGCCCGATCTCAAACTAGGTATTGTACTGCAAACAATGGCTGAATCTTCCTTTTTGATTCATCGTCGCTCGATTACCCTTTTCCAACCTCCTGCTTCTTCGTTTTCAGATGCCAGGCAAGCGCAGGGGTTTATTTCCTTCTTCAAAACCCTACCTAATGTACACACCATTTACTTCACTTCACTAAACCCTAAACCCAGAACTTATGACGCTTATAATTAATGTTTCTGCGACTTGTTTCTTTTTGCAGGATGCTAGGGCTGTGCGTTTTTTTGATCGTAAGGTGAGTTTGGTTGCTTATTCTCGTAAAGCATTTAAATTAGAGCATTTTCTCTCCGGATGTTTGTACACGGGAAATAGGCTTTTTTTTTGGGAGAAATATTTGCGTACGGAAAGCCTTATAACTAGGTTACACTTAAGTTATACCACTTGTAATTCTTCTTGTAAACTAAGTGTAATCTAGCTGTACCCTCTGAATAACCTAAAATGTACCTAACTCTGCGGCAAAGTAAACGGAAGCATAACTAGAACGTTTAGGTTTGATGAAAAACTGCTTGTGCTTCTTGGATGTTGAGTTTAGTGCACCACTCATACATTTAATGCTTATAAGTAATTTTTTTGCTAATATTGGTAGTAGGTTGACGTTGTCTTCTTTTGTTGAATTGGTTAATAACTTTTCAGTTTAGTTTTTTTCCGTTTTTATTTGTGGAATGTTTAATGCATGCATTCTATAGTTTTAAGGACAAATATCTATCAATACTTATTGTTAAGAATATCCTGTACATACTATATTGATCGTTGATAATAAGTTATAAACAAACTATTGGTTTGATCTCACCCATGAGCTTTGTCGTTTTTCTTGGTTTGTGCTCAGTTTAAATAATGCTAGTTCAAGTTGAGCTTGCTAATCCATGCCACATATTTTCTTAGCTTATGTGTGCAACAAATGATAATCTCTATTGCCTCATGTTTGCTCGCAAAACTCACATGCTATGAGCATTTTTATTAGATGTGGTTTGAGCTTTTTTGTTTGAAAGGTAGATGTGCTTTGAGTTGTAGGCTATATAGTTGCAAGGTAATTATAGAAGAGGTTGATGAAACCATGAGGGTTCGATACATCCTTAAAAGGTTGAATTACACTCGTTGGCCTAACAAAGGCTACATTAGTTAACTACACCAAGGTTATGCTAGAGCTAACTACATCCGAGCTACAATAGTGCAACAACAACTTGCTTAAATGGCTAAACACTTATTTCGATCATTCATGCTTATTTATGAGATGACTCGACTTGGGAGTTTAGAATACTATAGCAGAAACAAGTGGCCAAACGAAAATTTTAAAATTACACTTGTGTAAAGAATATAACGAAGTAAGAATTCTCAAATATTCTTATATGTATGTAAGCTTAGAAAGACGCCCTGCAGTGCTATAGCAGAGCACTGAGTCTATTTAATTAATAAACTCTGTAAGCACTCATAAATTAATGGAAGGGCGATGAGCTATTTTAACCTAGAGATTTTCCTTGCTAGAAATGTTATTTCAAATAAGGATTATTTTAATCATGAGATTGATCTTTCTCGAAAGAGAAAGTTCCTAAGATCAATTACATCACGGGCTCGTTTGAGAATATCTTTGATTAATGAATAAATGCTTGTGTTCAAGAGGCTAATTAAGATTTAGATGGATTAGGCCAGGTGCAAGTGAAAGTCAAAATAGATTTTATGGGGCTTTATAGAAGATGAAGGTATCAGTAAACCCTAATAATTAAAAAGGGTTATGCTCAAATACACTAAAATTATATTGAAATGGGAGGACCAACATTTCAGGGGCATGAATACACCGATTATGATTACATAATTCTATTGTTTTGGGTCGTTATTTCCTTTAGTCTACTTAGTTAAGGAGTGACTAGAGGTTTTTTGTTTGCAACCATATGTTATCTCATCGCAGGGGATTTTGTAGAGTAAGTGGTGGACATATTTCTAGATTGACAGACAAGACTTGTAATTTACTCTTATATGATGGAGAAAATCATAATGAATTTACAACATTGTGTGTGATGGTGCATGTCAAGTGTGGCAATGCGACCTAGGGCCCTAAGATTGGGGGGTGAAAAAGATGTGATGCATGAGATTGATACTTATAACTTATTAAAATTTCGTCAACATGTCCAAATTTTCTACTCAACATAACTTGAAGAGACAAAATATATGGAGATTTTTTTTTTCAGTTTAATGTGAGGAGAAATAAGATGTCAAATTTTCTTAATATAGTGTTAAAGAGCAATTTTAGATCATATTTTCTTCAATATAGTGTCAGGGAGGTCTATAAATATAAACTCTTTCATATAGTGTGAGGAGAAGTTTAAAATATGATTATTCTCAATATACTGTATTGAAGAATCAAAAGATGATTTCTCTCAACATAGTATAATGTGGATTGAGAGGGATAAAATCTTCTCAATATAATTTGAGTAGTTCAGAGGGGATTCTCTTTGTAGCTCTAGTGGTGGACAAAATTAGAGAGAGTCATCTTATATAATTTGGTCATATTATACATCGATCATCTGATGATCGGATTAGGAGAGTGGGTGCTTTAGATTCGACTTATGTTAAGAAAGATAGAGGTAGAACTAAGAAGACTTGGGCATATTGTATAAAAAATGATCTTAATTTATTGGAATTAAATGAAAATATGACTCAATAGGATGCAATGGAGAAAAAGTATTCATGTAGTCGACCCCATTTAGAGGGATAAAAGCTTGTTGTTGTTGTTGCTGTATAGTGCGATGGAAATTGATAAACAACTTTTCTCAATATAGTGTGAAAGGTAAAAAGATTTAGACTCTTTTCAATAAAGAGTCTAAAGATGATTCTTCTCAGTACATCTAAAGATAATTTTCGTCTATATAGTGCAAGTGAGATAAAAAATATCGACTCTCAATATAGTATAAGGAGTTCAAAGGTGATTCTTCTTAATATAGCGTGTTAGGAACACAACGATGATTCCTCTTAGAGTAGGGTTGAGAAAAATTGTGAGACAACTCTTCTTGTTATGATTGAAGAGAGAACAAGAAATGATTTTTCTTCATATAGTGTGTGAGGAGAACCCATAAATAATTTTTCTTGTCATGGGATGATGAAAATTGAGAGAGCATCCCTCTTTAATATGATGCGAAGAGAGACAAGAGACGAGTTTCTCAATATAGTAGAATTCATAGATAATTTCTTTTAAACATAGGATGAGAAAAACCTTGAGATGATAATTCTCTTCAATATGGTACGAAGAGAGCTCGAGGGATGATTCATTATAATATAGTCTGAGGAGAACCATAGATGATTTCTCTAAATATAAGATGAGAAAAATTAAGAGATGTCAACTCTTCTCAATATGGTGTGAGGAGAGGACAAGAGATCAAGATTTTCTTTAATATAGGAGGAAGAGTCAAAAAGTGTTGATTATCTTCAATATGGTGTGAAAAGAATATAAAGATAATTTTTTGTAATATAGGACGAGGGAGAATTAGAAGGTGATTTCCTTCAATATAGTGTGAATGAGATCCAAATAACAATCTCACACATGCTGTGAGGAGGAACCAAAAAATGAAAACTCTTCTCAAGATGGTGAGAGGAGAGGACTAGAAGGAGACTCTCCTCAATATAAGGTGTGAAGAACTAAACATGATTCCTCTCAAGATAGGGTGAAGGCAATCAAAAGAGGTGAACCCTCAATATAATGTGAGGATAATAAAAAAAGGGATGAGCCTTAGAAAATATCCTCAATATGATAGAAGTGATATGCAAAAACAGAAGGAATGAGGCTTATAGTTTGATCTTGTGAAATCAAATAAGTACGAGCATCATCTCAATATGATGTAGAAAATGTCTTAAAACGAGACTTTCAACTTGGTTACATGTGACTAAGAATGCTCATCCCATCTTTTCATTAGGATGGAGATGATAAAAATTGGACTTATATTTGGCCTGGGTTAAGAATGACAATTAATCACCAAGTCATGTGTGCAAATATGACGGATCAGTCAAATATGGAGAAATGCTAACGGTAACAAATCGTAAAATAACTAGATGGAGTTGATTATATGTAGAGTGAGTGCATCTAAGTTTTTTATCCTATAGAGGATTTTAGATCGTATGTTGACTCACATAGGACATGACATAATAAGTATAAGTGAAAGGGTAGAGGCTGAAAAGCAAAGTGCCCTATGTGATGAGCCAATGTGCTCTATCCTTGTTTTTATTTTCTAAGCGCGCCTAATTTATGAGAGATTGATAGGTGATGGTAGGACTAATTGACGATCCCAATTAATGTCGATCATAGGATGTCGAAATGGTGATTAACGTGAAGTAGGGAAATCTAAAACCCTAAATTTATTTTTCTTCGGAAGAAAACCTCTCAAACTCATTACTGGCTATTTTGGCTACCCCAAGTTGATTTGTAGAATAGATGCAATAAAGTCTACTATTTTAAAGTTCATCACCGAGCAAAGATTAGTAGCAATAATAAAATAATAGTGGTTATTACATTGTATGTATTTATGTACATATACGATAGACAAATTCTATGATGTGTAAGCATATCCGAGTCATTGCCAACTACATATACATAATAAAAAGCAATCCAATTTAGAGACTAGCATTAATTATTAAAGCTTCATGTTGTATATATAGTATAAGTATGCATGATCGAACAATATTGAATACACATGTTACAACACATAGAAGATGCGTAAATACATAATATGATGTGCGTTAATATAGAAGATTTTTAAATGGAAATATCTTCTTTTTGAAAAGCTATAATGATGATGAAATGTCTAAAAAATATGTTCATTTTGCAGTTTTTTTTAAAATAAGCTATTCATTGAATATTAACATTTATCTAATGCTCAACAAAAATCTTTAACAAGCTATTGCTTTATATGCAAAATAAAAGGAGTGCCTCAAGCCTTAAGCCTCATTCATTTGGGCAAGGCTTATGCCTTTTGAAGCGAGACATACGCCTCAAGACGCAATGCCCCGCGGTGTTTGAGGCACGCTTCAATCCCGAGCGCAACATCCGCCTCGCTCGTTCAAGCATTGTCTAAAGCTGGTTCGAATGTCGCTAGGCATCATCGAAGCAGTCATATCCTTGTCAAGCGTCAAAGTCCTGTCCAAGCCTTGCAACATTTTTCTTGAAGCGTCGCTTCATTTCTCTATCGAGCATTCATGCCAGAGTCTATTCTTTTCCACCTTTTTCTTCTTCGCCATGGATTGGACTTTTCCACGACTACTACTTCCTCGTAATCTTTCTGTGAGTTTCCCATTAGCTTCCCAGGTTTGATGCTTTAATACACACACACACACACACACACACACACACACATGTTATTGGATTTGATAATTCTTGATGGGTTCTTTAGTTGCAACTAATGTATCTAAATATCTAACTTTTATCCAATGTTCTCATCCATATCACTTATACTCTAAATTTATTTTTATCGAATTGTTGTAAATAACTAATATACTAGGATTTAATGTGGTTTGTCATATTAATGATTTATGTTTGATTTATGAGCTTTTAATTCTTCTGTATTGAGGCTTACGCCTTGATCAATAGTCCTTGTTTTGCTTAGAAAAAAAAAGGCTCAATTCTCAATTTTCTTTTTTTAAACATTGATATATATATTTGTACCTGTGTGGGTGAGTGCACTCACCCGCAATTAAATTATTATTCTTGTGTGTGTAATATAAAAGGATAATATTTTATTTGATTTTAATAGAAAAATATAATAAAATATCATATTATATATTTATATCATTCTTAATTAAAAAAATATTTTTTTTATTAAATTGAAATAAATCACATCACAATTAAGCTATTATCCTTTTGTGTGTGTATGTGTGTGTATATTATTAAAGGATAATTTTTTAATTGATTTTAATAGAACAAAATATAATGAAATATCATATTATATATTTATATCATTCTTAATTGAAGAAAAATCTTATTTTGTTAAATTGAAATAAATCACAAAATTTCTTGATATTAATAATTTTCTCAAATATACTTCTTATCTTCTTTTTGCAAAACACTCAATTTTATTTTATTTTTGATTTACTCTTTTTCCTACCACCAAAACCTTAACAAAATAAAATAGGAATTTTACAACTATATTTAGTGTTTCCCATTTTGAAGGAAATAAATCTATATAAAAAAAATTACACTAAAATATTGAGGAGGAAGAAAACAATTTTGTATACCTTTTGTTTGTCTTGTTATTCGTGAGTAGGCCGCAAATCCTGCTCGTCCACTTGTTCTCATGCACAATGACGCTCTTGTGCTCAATTTGGCCTTGTTTTTTCTCTTCTGCACATTCTCTCATATTTTTTTTGTTCTTGCCACTCTTACTATCTGTTCTCTCTCTCTAGTTTGACTCCCTCAGCCTCTCCCCTCTTTAATATTAAGGAATTGATCATTATTCAGTCCTAGTAAACCTGTCTTTACGACTTGATTGTTTTCTTTCTTTTACCTACCCGTAATTTACAGAATATTAATATTCTTGTATGTAGTAAATATTTCTTTGACATTTATTCCTGTTTTAATGTAGGACATCAAGTATGACAGGAAATATTCTTAATGTTTATTACTTTGTTTTATATTATAATTTGGTATATTTTAATCATCTTTTTATTTTTATTTACTAATCTTGAACCACAATTTATATTAATGGCTCCCATTAATATAAATGGGAGCCATTATGACTAAAGTTGAAATTTTCTCGCTCCTCTTTCTTCTCTACTAAAATCTCTCTCTTCCTCTCTGAAAATTGTATTAGCCCTCTAACTACATCTTTGTGGTACTTTATCTTAATAAAAACTTGGTACTTCACTTCACTGTTGCCCATCACATGTGCGCTTTTAAACTCAAGTTGCTGGCTCTTCCAAAAATAAACTCCCACAAGCCTAAAATTGCCATAAAAATTTTCCAATTCCATCTTTTGACTCTATTTCCTTTCCTTCTTTGTGTATCTGTGTGTGCTAAAACACTCACACTCGTGCAATACACAAACACTCTCTTCTCTATTTTTAAGGTCAAGTCATCAGTTTAATTTATTGTTTATTAATATTTAGTTATATATCTTTTTAAATTTTTTTTTTATAATGTATTAGCATGCAATAATTATTAGGCATATAGCCAGGTAACGCTTAAAATTTAATTAAACATATGATTTAGTAATTTGTTGCTTTATTAGTAAGTTATCTCTAACTTATTATATGACATCTTTATTAACTATTAGTAATCTATTAATAAATTATTTATATTTTTGCATGTGAATTTACTTCTTTTTGTGTATCTAATTAGTTATGTTAGTTAAATTATTAAGCTTTAACGTTTCATATTTTATTTACAATCCAAATAAATTTTTTAATCCTTAATGAAGATTAATCATTGGTATTAACCCTACAAACATTTTATTCTGGACCCATTATCATTGTTTTATCATTTAACATTTATTTAGAAATTTGACTATAAATTTACTAAAATTAATTAATAATGTAATGATTCATTGTACAATATGAATTCACAGCGTAAGCATGAATTGTTTAACACTAATTAGGGGTTTAATTAATGGCTCATTTATCATGTGATAATGACGAAAACAATGAATTACTAGCTATGAAAAGTAAATTAATGATCATAGTTGAGAACTAATCATGTGTTAATAATCCACTTAAGTTTTCTAGTTTATTCAAGATTGCCTTTTACTCCTAATACCTCATACATTTGCAAAGATGAACTTCTATTTCTGCCAAGCAGAATAAATGCTTAGCTTATTAAGTCCGCTACTCTTCTCAGATTCATGCTTAGATAAACCAGGGATGGCTAAGCTAAATAAGAAGTTCGGTAACTTCTAAGCTTTTAATTCAAAACTGGACCATCGCTTTATGCAAGGCCCATCCATGTCCTTTTTAAACCATTTTCTCTAGAAGTTCTTCTTAATCAAATAAAGTTGAAAAAAAATTGATATCTGTTGTCCACCACTTTGATATGTTACTTTGGGCACTTCATGAGTTTATGGTGTGATATTTCTATGACTTCTACTTTATTTCAATTCCAACTGAACTAGTTTATTGTTTTTTCACAGTTATTATGGGCACATTGATAAATCTGACACTTCGGTGCTATTTTAATTTTTAATCTCTGTTAGAATTATAAATTTAAAAATGTTTAACTCATTGGTGTCAATAATGTTATTGAGTATTATTGTCTATGCTTTTCTTATAATGCCAAGATTCATCACTTTCTAGTATTTTGTTGGAAATAATCTCCAAAATTCTGCGCTTGAATTGTATTTAACATCGGAGCAGGATTATTATACCGTCCACGGTGAAAATGCTAACTTCATTGCAAAGACATATTACCGCACCACCACGGCCCTTCGGCAACTTGGCAGTACTAATGATGGTATTTCGAGCATTACTGTGAGCCGAAACATGTTTGAAAACATAGCTCGTGATATTTTACTCGAAAGAACAGATCATACAATTGAAGTCTATGAGGGTAGTGGATCTAACTGGTGGTTAACTAAAGCTGGCACCCCAGGAAATATTGGTTCCTTTGAAGATGTCCTGTTTGCCAACAATGATATGCAGGATGCTCCAGTCACAATTGCTTTGTTTCCTAACTTACGTGAAAATCAGTGCACTGTTGGTTTAAGTTATGTTGATATGACCAATCAAAAGCTTGGTTTAGCAGAATTTCTTGATGACGGCCAATTCACAAACCTAGAATCAGTTTTAGTTGCTCTTGGATGCAAAGAGTGTATTTTCCCCATGGAAAGTGGAAAATCCATAGAATTTAAGAATCTACATGATGTGCTGAATAGATGTGGTGTTCTTTTGACAGAGCGGAAAAAAACTGAGTTCAAGTCGCGTGATTTAGTCCAGGACCTCGGCAGAATAATAAGAGGTCCTATTGAGCCGGTGAGGGAACTACTTGCTGAATTCCAACATGCGTTGAGTGCATTAGGGGCATTGCTATCTTATGTGGATCTTCTTGCAGATGACTGTAACTATGGTAATTATACCATCCAAAAGTATAGTCTAGATAGATACATGAGATTGGATTCTGCTGCCATAAGGGCATTGAATATTCTAGAAAGCAAAACAGATGCAAATAAAAATTTTAGTTTGCTTGGCCTGATGAATAGAACCTGCACTGCTGGAATGGGCAAGAGATTGCTAAACAGGTGGCTCAAACAACCTCTTCTTGATGCGGATGAAATAAATTTTAGATTGGATATAGTTCAGGCTTTTGTGGATGATGTAGAATTACGTCAAACATTGAGGCAACAATTGAAGAGGATACCGGATATTGAACGATTGACGCATAACCTTAGAAAGAGAGCAGCTAATCTTTTGCCAGTTATTAAACTGTACCAGGTATCTATGGAGGATTTAAATTTATGTTTTCTATTTAAGAAAATCCGTCCTTCAGTTTTATTTCTATTATTGAAATTTTCATGCTTTTCATGTGCCATGGACTTCTATATGTAATAATAACCTGCAAATTTTAGTACTTCAACTAGCCCAACTCGTATTACCTTTTTTTTTCATTAGAGATTATCAAACGTTTTGACTTTTTCTCATGCCATGGATTTTTATAGTTTTCAGTTTGCAAAATTTGAATGTGTGAATAGCACACTTCATATGATTTCTTTCATGTTATGATTTTCGCGTCATTTCTTGCTTCCAGGAGTTAGCCTTGACGTCCCTGTGAAATTATATTAGAATATGGAAAATTCTTCATTGAAAGGTTCTACCACAATTCTAGAATGGTGTTTGGGTTGTTTCTAACAAATTCAAGATTTTTTAAAAACTGTTTTACCTCACCTTGTCATGAATTAATGCTCAAACAATAATGGGTAGATTAGCGGGACATCAAGAAAATTCAACATATAAGTATGTAATAAAATGTAAACAATAAAGGAGTCTGTAAATCATTGTGTAGTGGTTGAGTCCCTTGATGCTTCATATGTTCATATTTATTTTGTATTTCCCCCCCTTGGCATTTTCTCCATTATGCATGCCATTTGCAAAAAAATTGATGAAACAAGGTAATGCAATCTATCATTTTCCATCCTTCTTAAAGGGGGCAATCAATCACAATCCCTCACATAAAATATTCTATGCCATGTTGGCTTTTGCAAGGTAGTATTTTTTTATGTAAATTATCATATGTTCTAATTTATCCAAAGCAACAATTTGAAATTGTTGTTATTGCAATATTTTGTATTAAGATGTTCTCCTTTGTTATATTTTGTTTAATTTTTCTTTTTAGTTGCCTATATCTTGATCCATTCAAGTATGAATATTATATATATATATATATATATATATATATATATATTGGGTTTTCGTCATTTCCGCGCTGCTAGGGTTTCACCCCATGGCGAATGTTGGCATCTACTATGGCAAATCTCTGTTCGTCGATTTTGCCTCTTCTCGTTGAAGAAGAAGGGCCCGCGTCTTCGTCTGTTGCTTCGTTCTTGGCGAATTGTGTTTCGTTGTGCCTCGTCGGTGATGACCGCACATTTGTACTTCGTCTTTTTTCGTTTCCTGTTTTGTCGAAATACGTTGGCGTCGTCCCTCGTCGTTTCCGGTTTCGGCTTCTCCTCGCTGCAGTCTTTTATCCTCGTTTGAAAGGACGGTTTCCTGTTTGCAATTCTCTGGCTCGAGCTGACGCAGGGCTTCACAGACGAGTTTTTGCTTCTACTCCCTGTTCTGATTCGGATTTTGCTCTCTGCTTTGCTTTCTTCACTATTCTTAACGCAACAACTTCATTTATTGGGGATGGCTTCAGATAGATCGTATGTTGCTGCCTTTGAGGGTGTCCATGCCTCAGGTACACCTAAATCGTGCTTTCCCTCTTTCGTTTGAGTGGGCAGAGGATATCAAGAAACTTGGTAGAAAGAATGAGAAGTCTGTCATCTTTGTTATAGAAGCTGAAGGTATTAAGCTTGCTTCCTCCTGTCGACTGAATTTGGTCGGGAAATTTCTATATGACCATTCCAAAATGGAGTTGATTCGTAAAGAATTTGAGCTTATGCATCTTATTGAGGAGTAGAAAATTGGACTGTCAGATGGAAGATACATTCTCTTACAACTAAATAATGAAGAAGATTACACGCGATTATTTGCTAGAAGAATAATCTGGATTGATGATAGAACAATAAAGATTCTGAAATGGTATGTGGATTAAAGGATTTTCGCTTGGGTTAATTACATCGTGGGGGGTACCCGAAAATATTCTAAAAAAAAGGAGTTTCGCTTGGATTATCGTGAACCTGGGGCAATAGGTACTCCAATGAAGGTTATTCCGTGTGGGAACAGTCTCGATGCTTCAAAGCTCGCGCTAAGCCATCGGGTAGAGAGCGAGTCTCTCACATCCCAAATGGGTAACGACTCATCGACACACGGGGCCCACAGAATAACCTAAATCATCTTGATGGAGACATCCTAACACGTCAAAACATGTCTAGGTTCACGATAATCCATTGGAGTACAAATCGTCGTATCCCAAATGGGCGACAGCTCATCGGCATCGGACCGTCAAAATGATACCGACGAAGTCAAAGGAGCGACAGGGCTTAAAGGGGCTCAACAAAAAGAATGTAGAGTAATCCTAAAAGTAGAGGTAACTGGGTTGGAGTACCACAGACCTGTCATACACAACTACTAGGACCCTAAGTTTACCTGGTCGTGAAGGTAGTCGACTCAACACGCCCTGAGATCCTTGGTCCGTGAATTGCGTTGTCCACGAGAACCTCGGTAACCCTAAAGTCAAAGGAAGGAAACTATAAGCTGGAGCTTCGAGAGGTGGGACTTATACCTGCCGAAGTGGGAAGGATGCCTCAGGAAAGAAGAGAAACGAAAGTTCAGCTACAAACCTGTAAACGCTCCAAACAAAAGGACTTGTATCCTGTCTGGGTCGAGGAACCTTCTAACATCCTAAGCGCACTGGATATCCACCTTTAAAAGGTATGCTGGGCCAGTCAGGTTAAAGAAGCACAGGGGCTTCTCATCGGGACATGTAAATATGATGTAGTTATCTAGAGCGGTCCTTAAGTTTCGTGGAGGCCCTATTAATATATGCAGTAAAGTAAATGTTGTAATTTTTTAAATCCTGAATATTTTAATCCTAAATTTTAATTATCTTGAATATTTTATTTAAGATTTTTAAGTAGAAAAATTACAATTTTAGGGTCTTTAATGAGTCTAAATTATATTGTGAAATTCCAGATATACCACAGAAAGAAACAAGGAAAACACATGCAAGTGCAAACAAGCAACATTATGCAAAAAGCAAAACAAGCCAAATCAAAATAGTTTACAGACCGGTGCCGCTGAGTCGGCAACTTATCTCAGAAAAAAAAAAGATGGCTGAACCGAACTCTGCATATACATGCCCAGTCCTAATTCTATATATTAATATAAAATACAGAATTAAAATACGAGGCACGAGCATTTGCTCTTGGTCCCCTCCACATGGTTCATGCGCTAAACGCCTCAAAAATCGTGCCCGTATCTTATTTCTGCTACAGGATTTTTTTAGACTCTAAAAGTACGTAGAGAAAAGAAAAAAACTCAATCCTGCATGAAAACAAGTGTCAACGGGAAAACTTACATGCAATAACGTATTATGAGCCATGCCTTAAAAATGGGGGAGCTATGGGGGAGCTAAATAACACATGCCTTAAAAGTGGGGAAGCTAAAAATTGTTAGAAATCATTACTTTAGAAATCATTACTTGCTCCCCCATAGCGGTACCTATGTGTGCATAAGTAGACATGACTGTAGACATGACTCCCTGCAGAAGAACTCCCTAACACACTTCCATACATGTGCAGCATGCAGACACACCACAAGCATAATGCAAAAGACAGTAGTCAGGATAAAAAATACTACCTAACACCCTAAATCCTAGCCTAGCGCACCCTAACGAAAAGTGTCAAGCTATTATCTAAGTGCGGGGTAAATTTGGTTATAATATGACTTTGACAGTGTTTTCATACCGGCCCCATCCTCAAGATACGAAGGATCTAAATGGTGTCACGAAGAGTGGTGACACGAGTTAGATCTATTAGATCTTTAGCACAGTCATTCTCATGACAATCCCGATGACTTAACTCGCATTGCTCATCGGGATCAACCCAGCAAGTAATGCTTGTTAAAGCATCACAACCGACACATGTTTACTCTCCTAAAGAGCCTAGCTCGTTACCCATGCAAATATGCAAATGTAAGTGCGAACAATCATGTGGCAGAAGTGATGAGTATACCGTGGGGCAGTGACTCAAGGAAAGATGGGCATACCGTGAAGGCAGCGGCCCGAACAAATAGGTGTGCCATAGCGGCAGTGACCCGAACGGTGGGCGTGCTGTGGAGGCAGCGCCCCGAAGGTGTGTCAAGTCGGTAAGGACCGAAAGGGATGGGCGTGTCGTGGCGGCAGCGGCCTGAAGGTGTGCCAAGGCGACAGTGATCGAAAGGGATGGACGTGTCGTGGCGACAGCGGCCCAAGGAAGGTGTGCTGAGGCGGCAGTGACCGAAAGAGATGGACATGCCGTGGCGGCAGCGGCCCGACAGAGGTGCAACATAAGCAAATGATAATGATCATGCAAGCTAACACATACCATATGCAACATGCAAAGAGAAGCAATGCGATATAATGCAAAAACAAATAACCATGCAAGTTATCGGTCCACCGGATCGTGGTGGCCAGTCGAACCAAAGTGATTGGGCGACTGGGCCAGAGCGGCCGATCGAACCAAAGTGAGACGCTCACCGGGCCGGAGCGGCCTATTAGAGCGAAGTAAAATGCTCGCTGGGCCGAGGTGGCCGGTCGGAGCGAAGTAAGATGCGCACCGGGCCGGGGCGGTCCATCGGAGCGAAGTGAAATGCTCACCTAGTCGGGGCGGCCGATGGGAGCGAAGTGAAAATGCAACATGCACCAAACAACACCAAACAAAAATGCAATATGCAACAAACCAATATGCAGGTAGCAAATCGGACTCGTGCTAACGACATCGCCTAGGAAATCTAAGGTTTAGACCCTTGGATATGCGACATCGTCGCCTCTTGCTCTGATGAGGAAATGTGGGGAGTTTCTCTCCGGATTTCCGAAAGGAAAACTCTCCACGATGTCGCGAAATAGGATGGCTACAAAGTTTTTCCTATTTTGCGAACTCATCCAAACTTTGCAAAGCGAGCCAACTACAAAACTTCTCTCGCTTTGCCAAGTTCGACCTCCTAACTTCTTCAAGTAAAGTTAGAGAATCCAAAACAAGGGGAGTAAGGGACTCCGACCTATCGGAACTTGTGCTAAGGCTCACAACAAGAGGGGAGACATTCAGTTCTACGGAGGGTGTTGGCTACGCACGGAA